GGCTCATTGCAACAGGTGCTTCACACTCTCCAAGTGCAGTTTGTATAGTATGTGACAACCAGCTATCCAGAAAAGCCATGAAACCTTCCCAACTGCTTTGCAACAGGGAGACCAAGCAACCCGTATTAACAGAAGAGCTTCTGAAGTTTTTCAAAGGAAAAAACCATGGACACAAAGAACAGACACAACTGTTGAAGGTCGCCACTTCCTGAAATATGTCTGCACTAAGAGCATCATTCTTGGTGGCCAACCGTGTTGTTAAAGCTAAGAAGCCCTTTACTATTAGTGAAAGACTGATCCTGCCTTGTGCTAAGGATGTTTGCTGTGAGGGGCTGGGGATTTAGCTCAGCGGCAAAGCACCTGCCTGGCAAGCGCAAGGTTGTGAGTTCCATTCCCGGTACCGGAGAAAAACCAAAAAAAAAAAAAAAAAAAAGGATGTTTGCTGTGAACTTTTATTTTATTTTATTTTATTTTGGTTTTTCTCCGGTACCGGGAACCGAACTCATGACCTTGCGCTTGCCAGGCAGGCGCTTTGCCGCTGAGCTAAATCCCCAGCCCTTGCTGTGAACTTTTAGAAGAGGCTGAATTTGGAAGGGTGGCACATGTTCTTCTTTTGTCTGGCACAATTAGATGGATTGATAAAATAGCAGAGGAGAAAGAGGCATGATTGTTAGGATTAATGAACCAACCTCAATCCAGGTTGAGGTGTTTACTGATATGGACAACAAGGCAACAGTGCTTGGTTTCATGAGATATACATTTTAGGAGGATGTGCATGAGAATATGTTATGTGTATGTTTGTTGCCAACCAACAGTGTACCTGCAGAACTATTCAAGTCTCTGAATGACTACACAGCAAGATAAATGAATTGATCATTTCATTTCCACACATGCATGATGAAGCAGTCTCCATGACTAGATGGTTTTCTGGTTTCACTACTTGGGTCAATATGTTCTTCTGAACATGAGTCTACATGCTGTGTCATCCACAGAAAATGCTAACTAGTAGAAAAATGTCACCCAAACTCAACAATATTTTGTAGGATGTGATTAAAACCATCAACCACATTACATGTCCTTAACTCATGTCTGTGCAGTTCGGTGAGGAGATGGAGGTAGAGCATACATGTCTCCTCTTATACACAGAAGAGAGATGGTTTTCTAAAGATAGACTATTACCCAGAGTTTTTGAGTTATGAGAGCAACTCCAGAGACTTCTTTTTGAAAAACAGTAACCACTGGTAGGATTCTTCAATGACACAAAATGGATTGCAAAACTGGCTCACTCATGTGATGTATTCAATCTGCTCAGTGAACCCAACCTGTAACTTCACAGAAGAAAGGAAACTGCATACAAGTTGGCAGATAAAGTGGATGCATTCGGAGCCAAACTGGAATTATGTGGGCAATAGGTGAACATTGGGATTTTTGATGTTTTACATATTAGCAGAGATTTTGAAGAGAATGAAGCAGGCAGGGCCTTCTTTCTCCCAGCTAGTGTACGATCACTTATTTCAGCTTTTGAAAGAGTTTGAGCATTACCTCCCAACCACAACAGATCCCCCCTGGGAAGGAATTGATCTGTGGCCCATTTATGAATAAGCCAGGTGTCTTAGTCAATTTCTCATAGCTCCAACAAAATACCTGATACCCACAAGCTAAAGGAGAAAAAGTTCACTTTAGCTCACAGTTTGTAACAGTTTCAGTTCACAGTGCGCTGACTCGCAGGAAGGGTGGCATGGTGGAGGACAAACAGTTCATGGCTTGGCCGGCAAGAAAGGTAAGACTTTCTTCTTTCCCTTTTTATTCCATCCAGGTTACAAGCCTATTGGGTGGGTCTTTCTTGCTCAGTAAATCCTTCATCCACACCCAGAATTATGCTAAACCAATCTGTGGACTAATCAAGTACCACATCCATGATTCAGTCATTCCCCAAAGCCCCCTCCATGGCACATGAGGCTTTGAGGGGACATCTAGACATACACCATAACACCAGGCAAGCTGATGTTGATTATGCTAGAATAAGACCACATGCTTGAGATCACAAGTGCCAGTAGCTTTAAAAGTAGTCTGAGACAACTTCAAATCTCCAGATATTCTGGATTAAAGTCAAGGTGGAATATCCCGAGATTGCCACAAAAGCACTGAAATCCTCTTTCCATTCTAAACATCCTATCTTTATGAAACAGGGCTTCCTGTAGTGATAGCAACCACAAAAGATTACGGAGTAAACTTTGGTGTCACTCTCTTCCATCAACTAGTGGTCAATTATAACACCCAGTTGAACTGAATCAGCGTGGTGCTGGATATGGGAGGTCCACCTGAGGACTGTTGCCAGCAGCATAAGAGACAGAACAGGAGAAGAAGAAGTAAGGTTGTTGGGAACTCACAGAAGCTGTTGGGAGCCTGTTGGAAGCCTGTTGGTTGAGAAAATGTAAGGAGCTGTTGGTTCTTGTGGAGGAGCTTGTCATGCTGGCTTTCCCAATGAACTCGGCGGTTTTCATCCTGTGAGGAGCTTGGGACCTTGTTGGCACTGAATATAGCTTTGGTTCACTTTTTGAAAGCTCTGGTCCTCACTTGGAGCATCACTTCCTGGCTCTGGATAGGAAGATGGTGCACTGCTCAGTCTCCTGGAGAAGATTGTCACGTTGGCTTTCCTGATCATCTTTCCTGGTGATCAGGATAACTCAGTTATCCTGATCATCAGAGGATCTCGGGACCTCACTGTTGCTGAGGATGGCTGTGGTACTTTTTGGGGGAGCTCTGGTTCTTACTTTGAGTGTCCCTTCTTGACTCCAGTGCAGATCCCTCAGCCTGCCAGCATAGCTCCTTCTTCCTGCTGGCACAGACTTTCTAGCTTCCACCACTGACCTTTGGGTTTTCCCAGAGCAGATCCATGAAACAGGCCTGCATGAGACATTGTTGTTGGCTCTAGGCCTCCAGGTGGATCCATGGGAGGCATTGTTATGGGCTCTAGGTTTTCAGCTGGACTCATGCAGGACATTTCCATAGGATCCAGGCCCTCAGCTGGATTCTTTGGTAGTTAGTGTGTGCAAGATTTCCTGCACTCTCTTTGTATATGATTCTTTGGTTGACTATCATAATTTTATAAAATGTGTCGTGTATTGTTCCCCTTGCAAAAACCCCCAGACCACGGCAGTATCCAAAGTCATGCCTTCATGGCCCACCCAGACACCTATAAGTGTGCTTACTATTCCCCTAGGCAGCTCCCAAGCCAATCAAGTTGACATGATTAAGCTCAACCACCACATAAGGACCTCAGAAGAACCAGTCCTCACCAGGTTTGGTGGTACACAGCTGTAATCCCAAGTACTCCGAGTGTGAGGCAGAATTGTAAGTTACAGGCCAGCCTGGGCAAAATAGCTAGATCCTGTCTTAAAATAAAAATTTTAAAAACAAAGGCTGAGAATATAGCTGAGTAGTAAAGCACCTGTCTAGCATGAGCAAGGCCCTGGCTTCAGTCCTCAAGATAGCCAAAGAAAACAACAACAACAATTTGCTGACACCTTAATCTTGGACTTTCAGCCTCGGGAACTGTGAGGAAATAAATTCCTCGTTAAAGCCACTTAGCCTATGATATTTGGCAGCCCTACTAAATAATGCACTGGGGAAGAGTTTTAGGGCTGTGGCCTTCATTCTGAATGGAGGACCCTCTGAGGGCTCCCAACTAACTTGTGGGGCAGCAGGAAAACGAGTGAAAATGTATTTCATACAGAAAAGCCTGAATTTTTGAGTCAAATGTAGCTATGGTGGAGCCCAGAGATTGTCCTCTGAATTTAGCAACAGTGGATTGGATAAGAGCAGGTCTGGTGGAGGTAAGAACACAAATGCCTGGCTGCAGCGTGCTGAGAACGGAAGAAGAGAAAATGAAGACAGGGAGTTTACAGTTTTGCTGTCCAAAAGAGCAAAGAAATGTGGTAAGAGCTACGGGGAGAGGTAATTGTGTTTTGTTTGGGGATGGAAGAAAATAGAGTATGATTGCATGCAGACGGAGAATAATGTAGGTGTGTACAGACTTGCCAGCATCCTAAATCTTCACAAGGTTCTGATGAGCCGCATCTTCGATGCTATTCTGCTGAGTATACTGCTGAAGGATGCAACTCTTATTGTCCTACTCATTTGCTCAAAAATCTTTAGTGTTCTTGTGTCTTAGCTGGATTCAAATCTTCACTCGGGCCCTTTGCATTTTATTTTTCTTTTAACTAGAACCCTAGAAAGAGGAGCAAAGCATGTCAGACCACAGGCAGAAAGCTCGAAATTAAAGCCATGTTTCTGTAACTAGTTATGCGACCTTGAACAAATTACGTAAGTGCACCGGCTGGGCTCCTTCCGGTGGCCTGGATTATCTATATGTCACGCTGTCTCTAACAGTGGGATCATCTCCTCAATCAGCCTTATCCCTTCCAGCCACTTCTAGGGACAGTATGACTTGTGTGGTCACTTACTTATTTGTTTCTGCTTTCCTTTTGCCTTTCCGCATAGACTCTGCTTTAGAACAGCTACAACAGCAGTCCCTTTAAGGTCGGCCTACTCCCCGCAACTAGGGACTCGCCTCCCACTCTTTCTCCCTCGGGGAACAGCCCTCTTTACAGTCAGAATCCGCCACGTACTAAGTGCAGCTTCCAACCAATCAAAAAGCAGTTCTCGCAGATCTTTGAAGGGCATTCATTTTCACCAATAACCTTCAAGTCTTCCCAAAGCGCCTTGCTTTGATGGGAGAGGCCAACCTCGGGGATGGCCAATCTGTTTCGGGCAAAGGTATTCCGGGTATCGCTGGGTTTACCAATCAAGTGAGAAGACTCTGGGGAGGGGCAGTTCTCATTGGTGGCCGCTTCCGGAAAAGGGCCAGGCTTCGAGGAATGAAAATACGGTAGGATTGGTAAGTATGATGTTGACCAACCGGGAAAAGCCCGCCTTTCTCAGAGTAGCAGGGCCCTCGGCCAATCGGAGAGAAGATGCGCGGAACGTTTGCTCAATGGGCGATGTCCGCGCGAGGCTGTCACTCAGGTGGTTGTGGCGGCGGAGGCCGGGCTGAGACGTGGCCGGGAGGACGCGGCTGGCCGTTCATCGCGTCCGCGCGGCTGCGGCTTCGCTGACGCGTCCTCTCCGGATCGGAGGCTCGGAGCGGCGGGGGAAGCGGACGCCGGCGGCCGCGCCTCCATGCCCCCGTGCTCGGCCGGCCTCTGA